GGCAGTCAAAACAATTCCAACTCAAGGTGACCCCTTGAGTTAGAGTAGATTTATTCCATAGGGTTTGTTTGGGAGTTGGGACACCTTAGAATAAGGAATAAGGCAGTGTTTAAAACAAAAAGCATTAAATATGTAATATTTCTCTAAAATTCCAGCCTCTCATGTCTATCAGTGTTCTTTCAATACTAATTTGTTTCTCCACTTTTTCTAGGTGGGCAGAGGTACTGACAGATATTTGGGACTTCATATTCAGAGGTCTATAAAAAGGTGACTGAATCAGAATCATTTTAATTATTGGACGTCAATGAATAATAGTAAAAGTATATGTTGCGATAATGGTGATCATACATTCGCACAGCAAATATTCTTGAACATACATTATATGTCAGCCTCTGTTCTGGGTATTGAAACTATCATGAAAGGTCTTCAAAAAGTTCATGGAAATGTTGCGTTACCTTAACATTTCATTTTTCCATGAACTTTCTGAAGCCCCATAGTACAAACTTGTCTTGGTTTATAAGACTTAGAGTAATTAAAATATAATATTGGATATTGTTGCTTTGTCAAAGATTTTAAAGTTAACATTATAATAGCTAGAATTTCCCTAGGGAATTATTTTGAATTTGATTGTGCTACCAAAATTTGAATTAAGGATCTGCATGATTATAAAAGCAATATTTAGAATGAGATGGCTAGACTAGCCTATCAGAGAATGGTGTAAAACTAGACAAACGAGGAAAGAGGAAGAATTCATGAAAGAGAATTTTATAGTTAACTTCTTTTAATGTTCCTTTACCTATCCAGAATGGCTGAAAGGAGTTTTGATTGGGGAATGCAAAAATCACCATTTATTAAGATGTATTGCCTTTCTTTTTAGTTCAACTTTTTTATTTTTAATAGTTTTAATAACATTATTTTACATATTATACAATTTAATAGTGCAAGAGTAAAAAAAGAATTGTATCATCACAACCTAAAATTTTGTTTGTTTATAAATGATCACACAGAAAATTAGATTTCTGTTTAACAATCGCTTTGTAGATACTCAGTGAAACCCTGGTGGCAGTAGTGGGTTAGTAGATTGGCTGCTAACCCCAAGGTCAGCTGTTTGAAACCACCAGCCACCCCAAAGGAGAAAGATGAAGCTTCCTTATAAGGTCCTATCCTATACAGTCATGAGTCTAAACCAACTCATTGGGTTTGGTTTTGGCTGTGCATTACATATTCAGTAATGTTGAGTAACACGTGTTTCACAGTATGTTTGCACTCTGTCTGTTCTGTTTCCATTGATCATAGGTTCTTTGCAATGCTGTGACATGCACCTCACCCTCACCTGTACCGTCTCATCTTGCTTTAGAGTAAATAGTGACTGTTAGGTCTTCTCACTGCCATTGAGTCAATTCTGACTCACAGAGATCATAATCGTGGGTGATAGTATTTGTTTTATGAACTAATCTGTTACTTGCCTGAAAGGTAACCTCTGGACATGTGGTCAGATCAAAGTGTATAGGACGATAGTCTTAGGTGATTCTAGGTCTCTACCACTCCAATAAGTCTTGCTTTTTTCCTTTTTTTGGAAAGAACTTGAGACTTGGGCTTCATTTTCCTCAGTCTACCTAGGAGTGGTTATTAACCTATATCTCTACTTACAACCATTGGTGGTGGTAGCTCGTTCTTCTGGTTTTAAGACCGAGAACAGTGTGGTTGTGAGCTATTAACCCTGTAAATCCGTTTCTTCTTTGAGTCTTTACTTTTTATAGCCCATTTGCTATAAGTTAGGCTGTTCTCAAGCTTTTAAGACCCTAGACCAAGGGTCTTCAAACTTTTTAAACAGGGCCAGTTCACTGTCCCTCAGACGCGTTGGGGGGCCGGACTATAGTTTAAAAAAAAAACTATGAACAAATTCCTGTGCACACTGCACATATCTTTTTTTGAAGTAAAAAACCGGGCAAAAACACCCGGCAGGCCGGATAAATGCCCTCGGTGGGGGCCGTAGTTGGAGGGCGCCTGCCCTAGACACTACTCACCAAACTAGAATGTAGGACGATACTTTGCTGCACTTTGTTATGCCAGATGACTGTGTTTTCTGCCAAGGTTTATGATACTTAACTAGAGATCTACTTTTTCATGGGTATATAATAGTTTGGGGATTTAGTAAGGGGGGCGGGAGAGGGGGGCTTTTAGGATTCCCTATGCTGGATAGAGGAAGAATGATCCATATTAGATTTTGTTAGATTATTTGGTCCGTTTCTGCCCCACCCCCCTTTTTAATAATTACACAATGAAAACTGAAATTAGAGTTATAACCAAACATGCCTTTGTAGCTTTTTGGTAAGTATATTCTATTTAGGAGCCCTGGTGGCACAGTAGTTAAAATGCTGCTGTCAACCAGAGAAGATCGGTAGTTGGCGCCTCCTCGCTGCTCCATGGGATAAAGCTTTGGCAATTTGCTTCTATTAAGATTACAACCCAAAGAAAAGAAAGAAAGAAAAGATTACAACCTTGGAAACCCTGTTCGGCAGTTTGATTCTGTACTAGCATTGCTAGTTCAAGTAGGGTTGCCATGAATTGGAATCAACTGGAATGGGTTTGGATTTGGGGTTCTATCAACTTTTATTTTCGGGATTTTTTTGTTTGCTTTAATGTTTCTCAGATGCTTGTATGATTAACTGCCTAAATGTCCTTTTAGTTATATTGTTAAGGAAAGGAAGTATCTATTTTCTGAAAATAATGCACGCTATATACATTTTCATGTATTGCTGTCTTCAGTTTCTTTATTCCTGTCCAGGGGGTCTAATGTTACATTTTCTTCTTGGTGCCTGTTGGTTCTCAGCAGCGTACTTTTACCAGCCTACCCTCAATTTTCTAAAGCAGTCCCTCTCCCAGCAGGGTTCCTTCCTTGCTCTACGCAAGGCTGTCTCTGAGGCAGCTCTGGCTGGTGTACCACAGCTTAGCACATTCCACCCCACCATCCATCCATCTAGAGGTGCAAGGCAACAGACCTGGGTAAAATGAACTTGACTGCTCTAAGGCTGAAGAGCGAATTGCCCACAGCAAATAAAGTTTCAATTCCGTATTTTCTGATTACGAAGATACTGCCAAACTTGATCCATGACTTTGTGACTGTGGTTTATTCTTGTTACACAAATAAAACCAAAAGTAACATTTAGTACTACTGATTGGGGGTGAATGACGCCAGAATTCACGTTTGTATGTATTACGAGATCTTTATAACAAATTTGTCATTTCCTTGAATTACATATGTGTGGAGTTTACATGTATTATTTTATGTGAGCTCCTTTTTATATATATAATGGTATTGTCCCAAAGGCGAAAGTTGAATGGGTCAGTGCTCTTTTATGAACATGAGAAAGTAATAGATAACATTTTATCTCCTTTGCATTGCAGTCCCCACAAGTGCAACATGTGTTTGTCACCTATAGGCGGTTAGGAAGTGCATTGCCACACTCAGGTTTGAAGAGTCCTAGATTCACTTAAGTGAAAGAGAATATAAACAGCAAAGCATACACCAATCAATAGTTTGTACATATATAATTTACTGGCATTGTTTATATTCTCCAAGTTATAAGACCTTTGTCATCCATCTCTGCCAAGTTGTGTCATAAACTGGCTGCCCGTTGAGGCTTTGATGTAATCTCTGGAGTTGCTCTTTTCTATTTTGTTCCATACAGATCTTGAAAAGAATCAGTTTGGCTTTTTTTTTTTTTTTTTTTAAACTGGGTGGTCCAAAACAGTTTTTTGGTATTAAGGCTGCAAGGGGTAATTTTGATGTAAAGTCTTAAGATATCTCAGGGCAGTAGTTTCAAGGGTTCATCCAACCTTCATTGGCTCGGGATGTCTGAATTCCAGGAGAAATAGGATTTTGTTCTGCATTTTTCCGCTTTTTGATCAGAATTCTTCTCTGGAATCTGATCAAAATACTCAGTAATGGTAGCAGAGCAGCAACCAGTTTTTCTGGTCGCAGGGCAAAGGAGGCAGCTGTTCCAGGATGCAGTCAATTGTCCAGGTGGTCCATATCCTTCTGCTTTCTCTTTATTGCTGGTAACAAAACCATTCATGTAGATTTATACAAAGTATGGTTTTTCCCCTTCTGTTTGTATCACTCTCCTAAATTACTGAATGTACCCTGTTTTATAATTCAGAAACTTTTTAGTTTTTCTGTTTACAAATTCTGCTGACTTATAATCACATCATCGTATCTCATGGCCTTTGCATATAAATTCTTAACTTTTTATCATGAAACTGTACTTTGTGATTATTGTTTTTATCTGGCAAGAAATATTACCTTCAATTGTAATTGTTAGGGTAATTTAATGGCAACTTCCCCAAAATTAAAGTTTAAAATAAGAATGTTTTCTGATAAAAGCACAAACAAACCACTATTTCAATCATATATAAATAACAAACTGATCTTAGGTCATATTGAATTTGGAATAGCATTATTGCTTGGTATTACAACTACATTTACTTAGGCCCAGTAAAAAAGTTTAAATGAATGCAGATATTCTGTAAACTAGGCTATTTAATAACCATTCTATATATAATGTAATTTGTTTTATCCCATTCTCCAGAATTTTTTGTTAGATGGACAGTGGTAGAATGCGGCAAATAGACATTCAAGTACACAGGTATACTACTAATTTCCTTTAACTGGAAACTTAAAAATTAAAATAGAAATTGAAAGGCATAATTTTGCATCATATTTTGTTGAAAAGGAGTACAATACCTTGTAAACACGGAACAGTGTGTAGTACATCTTGTGCTTACTTGGATTATAGTTAGTCTTTAAATGCATTTCTTTACAAAATTAAAGATACAGTAGCATTTACTATAAATTTTAAGAACTGTCTAATTACTGGATATTTTCATTTTCTATGGCAGGATTCCTCATGTCCGTAACATGTTGGCTGAGGCTCTGCAGCTCACCCCCAATCTCAAAGTGGTCCATCTCCATTAACTGGACCCCGTGATTTCCACTATCTGCTGTTTTGGACGTCATGAGCATTGCAATCCCTCTGGGAGTCACTACACCAGATACTTCCTACTCAGATATGGCTGCTGGATCAGAGTAAGTGCTTACTTCCTAGGTAGTAGGTATTATATCCGTTTGGAGGCAACTTATTTATGGGTATCTAGTAATAAATATGCAGTAACCAACGCCTATTCCACTGGAAATGTTAAATGATATTAGGCCTTTCCCTTTACCCCCTCATAGAAGCTGGAGGGGAAAAAAAGGAATTGGGGTGGGGGGGTGTCCTGAGTAGTGAATGATTAATAGAGTTAAATTTATAAAGTATTGATTTTTTTGTTTTTGAAGGGTGGGGAAGCTTAAAGTGGGTGACACTGCCTGCTTTTGTAGAGTTCATAAGTCTGGTGGAAGGAGATAAAGGGTGTGTTCTCTCCAACTGATTGTCCTTGAAGGCCTCTTCCTATGTACTTTCATTGTCGTAGCATAAAGGGGCTGAGACTCGATGTGGGCAGGTTTACTTAGACCTTCTAACATTTGGGGTAGAGAATATGGAGAGCAGTGTCATGTGTTCTTTTATAATATTCCTTGCCTAGAAAGAGGACCTTCAGAATCAGTGGTACCAAACTTTCCAGCTAAAAGCAGCTTTAGGAATTCAGAGTTTGTCGAAAAGCCCAATCCCTAAGATAATAGACTCAATTCTTGAAGAATTTAAATGCCAAATGAAGGTAGGCCTTCATTATGCAACTATTTATATTATTCACAGCTTTAAATTTTTTTAGCCTTTGTATCCCTTCTCTTTTAAGTTGTCCGAGATTGCCCCTGCTCACAGATTCCCCTCTTGTCCTTTTACCTCCCTTGTACCCAATCTTCCTTGCTTACAGAAAGGAAGTGGAAGCCCCCTACCTTTCAAGACGAAGTGGCACTACACCAGGATGTGAAAGTCCAGCGAAAGAGACCCAAGGGGCCTAGGGGGCAGCACACCCCCAGAAGCCAAGTCTATTCCAGGCAGTACCAGGGATTAGGGTCTGGGCTGGAAAAATCCTGGTGTTTTGAATATGTTCAGGTCCAGTTCAGACTCTTGATCCCACAGCCACTTCTTGAGTGAGGTGGGTGTTGCTCTAATTCCCCTGTTTCTCTTGCCAATTTCACAACCCCCGTGGGGATTCTTTTCCCGTCAGCAAAGCAACTATACTAGAACTCTTGGGTTCAACGGCATCCCTGATTAATAGTGGTTTTCTTCCTTCAAATTGAGAATATTATTAAAGAGCATGTGTATTTCTTCACAAAGCCAACTAAGAGAAGTTGCCTGTTTACAAAGTATCTTAAAGAAGAAGATTTAAAATAAAGCTACCCTAAAGAAGTAGTGTATTGTATTCTGGGGTAGTTTAGAATTGAAAGCAGTTCTTTTGGTCTTAATCACATGTAAAAAAGGAAGAAGGTGGGTGGGCGGTGGGAATTTGTGGGTTCTCTCCAGTTAGTTTTTTTGGTTTTTTATTTCGGGGTTTGGGTTTTGGGGGCTCTTTTTGCATGCGAAAGAGATTTCATTGAGCCACAATATTGGAGTCCTTGAATTTTTGGAACCTTTTCTCAAATAAAATACTTTAAAATCTTCCTACATTCAGTAGGCCCCAGTTTTATAAGTACTGTTCCATAGATTTTTTTAATGGATTAACAAACTATATGGGCAGACAACATTAACATTTATAAGAAATCAGCAAAATTGCCAAACCAGTGCATTGTAGGTGAGTAGATTTAAAAAAAAAAAAAAAAACAGAATGGGCTTTTAAAAACCAGTATTTTCCCAGGTTATAGAGATAACTGCCCATAAATTCTGCTAAGGGGACCAGAAATAATCCTACTCCCCAAATTTGGCTGAAATACTTACACAGGCATCTCCTAGGATTTCTTGAAATGTTTTCATCAATAATCTCCAGTCAGATTGCTGGTACTGATCAGCATTTGGTATTTCTACTCAGCAGTAGAATTACCCAGCATTCTATTTAACTGAGATTTGTTAATGCTTCATTATGCAATATGCCACATATTAGGTCCTCTTAAAATTAAACCTGGTATATAGGAGGGTCTATTTAACTAAGTTAAAGACCTGGACCTTACCTCATGGGACTTTAAATCTGATGTAAGTATTCTATAATACACTTCTTTTAAGTATATTTATGGGAAAACCTGTAGATCTAACATGGAAGCAAAAATTCTTCTGAATTTTTATGGATTCATAGTTCTGACATAACAGAATCTCAGACACTTTCAAAGATGTGGCATCATACCAGCAGCCTGCATACCGTGTGTAGAACACAATTTATGAGTGTGTCTGTTCTAAGCATGGTTCTGTTTCTTTATCCAGCTATCGCAGTAATTCAAACATAGAAGAAAAAGGCTATAATTACATTTGCATACGATGGTTGACTAGTGGAGAGGTGTGTAATCACAGCACTCCCAAGTTTGGTTTTTTGTTTTTTTTTCACTCCCAAGTTTTTAATCTCTATTTTAAAATACGGTTAAGAGCTAATCTGTCTTGTGAGGGGGTGGGGAAAGAGCTAATTTGTATGTAAAGGAATATTGTAGTACATTCTATAGTTACATGTCAGTGTCTAGCTGCTATGTTTGATCAATGGCCAGTACGGAAATTCCCAAATTCATTTTTTTTAAAAGCACTAAAAGTTTTAACATTTGACACGCATGGCAATATATGTTAAATGCTGTTCTTGACTAGAAAAAATTGTGCAATGGGGTGGCCTGTTAACCTCCACAGTACACATTTTATTTATTTTTATTCCCTAGACTTGCACGTGACGTGCATTTGTTCATATTTGCCCAGTTGTGGAGATGGGTAAGATACAACCAGCTACATCTCCATGGCCACCTTTAATTTCATGCAATTTTCTGTCCAGCCCCCATCCCAGATAAAAGCGTTTTAATAATGGCTGTCATGTTTTACCCCATGTGTTCAGTGGTACCAAAACTCCCATATGGACTATGGACAGATCTCTGTAATGCTTATATGTGGTAAATTACAGTGTATGAAATTACTTCCTCTTAACTGTCCATCCTACAAACTAAATTATGCTTCATTTTATTAATGCTTGTCTGCCTTTGGTTTCATATTGGAAGCCCCACTTGTTTCCTAATATTCAGAACTGTTTGCCTCTCAGTGAACCATGTTCAAATCATCTTTATCTCAAGAATACTGACCTGCATTCTTGATGTGTCTCACCCCTGCCTCTGGCCTGCCCACCACCACCTGCCCAGTTGCCATCTTGCAAACACTCTTGAGTAATAAAATGCATGCACTTCACTAACAGAGAATACTTTCCTGTGTCTAAAGTTCTTCTTCACCTAGAAATTACCTTTGCTGTTATTAATAAGATCCCTTCTCACAGTTTTGGAGCATATAACTGGGTGAGTTGGATACTTATCTTAGAACTTTCTTTTATCCCTCACTTCTCAGAAACCAACATTGCATCACATTTAACTGCACACTTTATTCTTACCAGGTGTAGTGTATATTGTATGTCCCCAAGCAAACTATGCATATTTGATTTGGGGGTGGGGGTGGGAGTAGGGGTGGTGTCAAGTTATGCAAGTCCTTGGAGTTTCTAATATGTCAATCTGTTCTGGTTAATTTAAATATTATGTCTGCAAAGTTTTACATAGTTGGATTCCTTAATTATCCTTTAAAACTCAAGATATAACAAGACAGTAATCAGAATTAAAACAGGTTTTTCTCAATTTTAATTTGTCCTTTGCCACCTCAGCCTTTATTTTGTAGTAAAGGCTATTATATATATATAGTCAATTTCTAAATTGGAAGGTGTTTGTAATCCTTTTAAACTGGTGGCTTATTTGAACAATATATTTTCCCCTCGGTACGAAAGCTACTAAACAGAGCTTCTCATGAAGCCTGGTAAGTGAAGTTTCATGAGGCCCTTTACATTCTCGTTGGACCAAGAGCACAGACTTTGGAATCGGATAGATAGGACTTCAAACACTGGCTCTTGTCAGCGTGTGGCTTTGGGAGAGTCAGCTTCAAAGCCTTGGTTTCCCGCCATAATGAATGGTGCTTGCCATATTTAGTAGCTGCAGAGACTAAATTATTTTATAGATACACTGCACCTAGCAAGTAGCGGGTGATTCAAAGCAGTAACTATAACTGCTGTTATTTGCCAGTGGACCAGCATAAATCTCAAGTTGAGTTTCAGTTCTTTTGAAGTATGGTGGCATTGCCATGCAGCTGTTAAATAATTGTGTCCTTAATATGCTTGCATGTCATTTGGAAAAATTAATATTCTCAATTTTTTGAAAGGTATTTGGGGGTTCATCAAGATAAGAGGTATAATAAATATAAGATGCCATTGTTTTTACCTGTACTTTCTTCAGGGTTTCCTGTCTTGGTAGTGAATGGAAGAGGGCCTGGTCCCTGGGGCAGTACAGAAGGCACTTTCATCATCTCACTCACTGCAAATGTCATGTGAGGTTTCATGGAAGTATTAAGAGATCCAATTAAGAAGAATAGTTCTGAGTCTAAACCAGCCCAGAGTGGCTTCTCTAGGGGAAACTCCCCGCTCAGCTGGTACGTTTGTGTTTGTCATTAGGGACACCTTGTATGCCAGGTGCCTGCCTTGAGACCTCTGCCTGTACTGACTTCATGTCACACACAAGTTCACATTGAATAACACTCCCACTGTTATTCATAGACATACTTACAGTTATCAGATTGTTCCACTGAGTTTCTCCTTTGAGTCTAGAGGCTGGTGGTTGTGGAAAGAGGAGGGGATAAGAATGGGAAATGAAGTATTAGTTTAAGGAAAAAATAGGTGTTATGCTATCATGCATTGCTTTTCGCCTTTGTGCAGCCCTGAATCTGTGGAGGCTAGTCCAGCAGTTAATGAGAAGAGCGTGTATTCCACTCATAATTATGGGACCACTCAGAGACATGGGTGTCGAGGACTGCCTTATGCTGTGAGTATGCATTTCATTTCTTTCCAGAGCAGTGATCTTCCCGGAGTGCAATCCATTCTTATGCATTATGACTTTCTTGAAATGTTTATATGCAGCATGACGAAGTTGCCCCTTTTGCACTTCCCTGCCTCCAGCGGACGTCTAGCCCTGCATCATTGTTCTTGTTTTTATGTCCCAAGTGACCTTGGCATTTTGTTTTATCACTTTCCTGGTTGAAGCCAAAAAACAAAGGGTACTACTTTCTTCTTTCTTTCCATATGTACCATACTTTAGGGGAGAGGGGCCAGTGTTTGGACACTGTTGATTTAAAAAATCTTATTTTCAGGATCATAATTACGGAGCCCCTCCTCCTCCGACACCTCCTGCTTCTCCCCCTGTCCAGACGATCATCCCTCGTTCTGACCTGAATGGCCTGCCGTCACCCGTAGAGGAACGCTGTGGAGACAGCCCGAACTCTGAAGGAGAGACTGTTCCTACCTGGTGTCCCTGTGGTCTTTCTCAGGATGGCTTCCTCCTCAACTGTGACAAGTGCAGGTAAGATCATGTTCCATCCAAATTCAAGCCTGGGTTGCTGGGATTAGGGTGTCTTATTAGTGGGGGAAAGCTCAAAGTATTCTTTCTTGTGTTTGTTAATGTAGATGATTCCTTAGTGCTCCTTGGCTCGAATTCTCTGCACTAGGTGAGAATTACTGACAACAAGGAATGAGAGGTTGATGTTAAAGCTATTGAATTTGATATAAACATTAATGTCCTGGAAGCATTTGGTAGGTGGGAGGGAGGGGGTAGGACATGCAGAGCCACTTCTCCCGTGTGTGCTGTGGTGTGTGGCATGCTGTTGGAAGGACTACTTTCAGTTTATTTTCCCTCTTTAGGGGAATGAGCAGGGGGAAGGTTATTAGACTTCATCGGCGGAAGCAGGACAACATATCAGGTGAGTGGAAGGTGGGTTGAACCCATATTTTGACAGACATTATCTTGTGATTTAAATGTTTGCATCTACAACTCCCTTTTGTAAGTCCCTGTGGTCCTTGGCTCTTTTGGTGGAAAGAGATTGAAGTCTATAGGGAAATTTTTATGAATCGGTGTGTCCAGAAGGGGCATCTGAGTGAACCCTCTAGCAATCAGAGTATTCCTTGTGAGTGCAGACATCTTCAAGGTTATGTGTACAAAGGGAGAGAGAGGTATGACATAGCCAAGACTCCAACCAAACCCACTTCTCCTAGCAACCCTGTATGCCAGAATAGAATTTTCCTACAGCATTTGCAATGCTGTCAATCTATACAGAAGCAGACTACCACATCTTTCTGTTGTGGTGTGACTGTTGAGTTGCAATTGATGACCTCATGGTTAAGCTGTGTCACCACTGTACCCCCAAGGCTCCTTGTATACCACAGGAAGGACAGGGCCTCTATGCTTAATGCTAATAACAAGAAAGGAAGGTTATTTTTATGAAGATAGGAATATTTATGTTCTACAGATGATAGAGCTGACAGGTGAAATAAGGTCCTAGTCACTGGGGCAGGTCAGAGCAAATACATGGCTTTTAATGCATTTTTGTGGTTCTTACTCTAACATTGCTATGAAGTAACTTTTATTCCCCCTTCCCCCCCCCCAGGTGGGGATAGCAGTGCAACGGAAAGCTGGGATGAGGAGCTTTCTCCTTCCACTGTGTTGTACACAGCAACACAGCACACACCGACAAGCATCACCTTAACTGTTAATCGAGTTCGAAGAACCAAACCCAAGAAACGGAAAAAGAGTCCAGAAAAGGGTCGTGCCGCACCAAAGACGAAGAGAATCAAGGTGTGGAGGTTAAACGTATCTTAAATATATCTGAATTAGCTAAACTTTTGGAGAAGCAGTGCACTAAAGGTTTTTTGACCACTTTTGCTCTAGTTGCAAAAATTGGTTAATCTTTAATATGTACATGCCAGGCCATGCCACCACCCCCCACACAGACAATGCTACTATAATAACCCCCATCTCAGGTATAAAATGATAGCCCTACATGGCACAAACCCATATGAGCTGCTGCTTAGGCTTCCACTACCCTTACCAATTTCTGTGTCTGTCCCTCAGCCCCAGACCACAGCATGAAATTCTTGTCCTGGTTACATACCCACATCATGTCATTGAGTTGATTGGTTTGGGGGTTTTTTTTTGTTTTTTTTTTTCCTTGAATCAAAAAAAATCAGGACACATCTCTTGAATGGTATAAGCTTCCTCAGTGTTGTGATCACTGTTCCTAGATTCTCAACCTGAAAATCTCCAGGAGGAACCTCTTCTGTTTTGTGTTCTTTCTTCCCCATCACAGCAACTTTGTTGCTCCTAGGTGACTTGTCTACCCCTTGCTGAGGGGATTGGTCTATTTCCTTCTTAAGTTTCAAAAACAGATAAATCCTTGACCAGACTTTTAAAGTGTTATGTGTACTTTTTCTTTTAGTGTTAGAGTTGTATGTAGGGCTGAAATGATGCATGCTCTTCCCTGTTAATTACATAGCTCCATAATAGAAAATATTAGAATTAGTCTCATAGCTCATTGTCCTCGAGCTGCCCCTATGCTTGCCAGTAGTTTGGGGAATCCCACTATATTTGCTACCTAGAGAGACAGACTGTTTCTTGCCTTAGATTGAGTCTCAGGTATGACTGTCATTCTTGGTACCAAGTTTTGTTTTGTTCTACTTGTTTTCCTCTTTGGGATAGGCATTTCGAGAGGGATCCCGGAAGTCCTTGCGGATGAAGGTAAGGGGTACTATTCCCTGATGCTGTGTTTTACTTCACTGTGATCTTGCATTTGGGTCAGCTTCTTCCCTGACATTGATGGTCTGGGATTCTTGGACTCGGCTTTTGTTAGTTTTTGTAATTGTTGCCATTCAGTTTTCATAGACCCTTTTTTCAAAGTAGATTTTGTTGACCTTTGAGAAATGTTTTCTTTTTCTGTACGAGCCTTCATTGAATGGTTTATCATTAGTCGCGTTTGGGGGTGATAGGAGATACTTTGCTGAACAAAATGAGGCTTAGCGGGTTCTGTCATGAACCCAGGATGGAGGTTTATCTGATGTTGCAGTAGGCTCTTCTGTGTATACCTGCTCTATGGGCTTCAGTCACCAGGTGGAAGGATACATGTATCAGCAAGAAAGAACTGTAATTGATAGGAACTTCTTTTATTGCACTTAGTTACTATGAATGCTTTTTGCTGTCATGTCTATTTGGTTTAGACGACTTGTGAAGTATGGTTTTCTCTTCGGTTATCAAAAAAGGGGACATAAAGGTCATATTTTGGAGAGGTTGAAGAATAGGGAAATGTTTTAAAAGACTTTTTAAGTACTGAATGGTTAAAACACCTTTTGCCCAAATCAGCGGGTTCTCAACCTGTGGGTCGTGACCCCTTTGGGCGGCGAACGACCCTTTCACAGGAGTCCCCTAAGACTATCGGAAAAACACGTATTTCTGACAGTCTTAGGAACCGAGACACCGCTCTGTCTCCAGGAACATCCGCCCTCATGCAGATACCCCAGCGTGAAGACCATTAGCCATGCTACACCATGCTTCAAGACAAAGTCTCATTCATTTGTCATTAGAAATGCTTCACAATATATCATTACATATTGTTTTTGTGATTAATCACTGTGCTTTAATTATGTTCAATTTGTAACAATGAAAATACATCCTGCATATCAGACATTACAGTTATGAAGTAGAACAAAAATAATTTTGTTGGGCGGGGGGGTCACCACAACATGAACTGTATTAAAAGGTTGCGGCATTAGGAAGGTTAAGAACCGCTGACCCAAATATCAGCCGAGGCACCAAATTTTACCACAAAAACGTCATTAAAAATGTGCTGCAAAACACAGCTTATACACGAGTATGTATATACACGAGTATGTATATTGTCTGGTATCTTCCTTTATATGTACGACGTATGGATAAATGTGGGGGTGGGTGTCTGGACAGAGGCAACATACCTCACAAGTCATCACTTAAGGCCTTAAAGCATTTCATTAGGATGAAGCATAATTTAATCCTACAAATAATACCGCCAGTGTAACTAATTATCAAAAACTGCAAGTGGCATTTAATGTAAGAAGTTTGCTGAGCTCATCCTGTATACACTTGCGAAATACCTGCAGGAACAAACCTGATGACTTAGAATCTCTTAGAGCACATTGATCATTTTTCTTTGCTAGATTCAGGTCCTGTAAGGGGCCATACTTGCTTTCACTGCTCATTTATTTGTGTCTCATTTGCATAGACAGAGCATTTACTATACTTAGGGGCAGGCCTAACCTTAATCCCAGCTTTAAGCCTTTGTCACTCCTGCCAGCTAGCTCCTTTAACTTATTTCCACTGGTGCCTCCCTTTGGAGGGTATGAAATGACACCTCTTAAGAAACTATCTAAATTTTTCATACAATTCAAGGAGGTTGACAGAGATCCCCTTTAGATGTGTTAAAATTTAGACATGTTTGTGATTTCAGAATTTTAAGTTGAGTGATGAACTTTGCAAAAGTGTGAGTCATCAGAAGGACGGAGGAGGACTTACATGATTTGGTGTGTGATCGTAAGATGCTTCCTACGCCTATCCTGTGTACACATGCTCGATGGGCTTCAATCACCAGGTAGAAAGATACATGTATCAGCAAGAAAGCACCATTAGTCATAGGAACTACTTTTATTGGACTTAATTACTGTGAATATTTTTTTGCTGTCATGTCTATTTGGTCTAGAAAACCTGGTACTGTTTTCTGGTCAACGAATTCTTTATTGTGCAGGCTGCCCTGTACATTAAAGTGGATTCACATTTCTAGTCATGGTAGTCAGTAATTGATAATGTATATTCTTAGCCCCAAATTGTGACAATCAGAAATGTCTTTGGATATTGTAGCACATTTCCTCTGAGGTCGAAACTGGCCCTGACTGAGAACCACTGCTTTAAAACCACTGGGGTGGATCTATCTGCCAATGTCCTGATGAATGAGGTGACAAAGTAGATTTAATGAGAGTCTTCCAAATTACAGTACTTAACAAGTCATAAGTTTATTGATTCTGTAAAGCTATGAATATTGTTTAGGGCTTCTAATAGCCAATCTTTTAAAAATACACACACACCCTTGAATCTCATGTTTTGCACTGTTATTTTGTTTAACTGGTACTAACACCATTAGCAAGTGATACTCATTTCTCACAGTGTGTTGACCTTAGGTGTTTCATTGACCTTTGTTTATTGGACTCTACTTAGGAATGTAGAAAATAGTGTGTTGACCGCTCCCTCTCTCTACCTCCTCTTTTCCCCTATAATAATCAGGCTGTAGTGATGCCAGAGTGGCCAAGGAAAGTCTTTGTTCTGCATGATTCATGGGAAATATATTTAATTTTATTATGCCTGGGGGGCAGGGAGTTATTTTTTTGTTTGCAAGTTCAGTGTGCACGTGTGTTTTCCAGGTAGCTCTGGTACTTACTATGGTGTCTTTTCCTTATGCTCATCACTAGCATGATGTCATCACTGTCCCTTTAATTTGCTTTCTGATGGCACCTGGTGTGTTCAGTGCCATGGAGGAGAACGACTGTTGGTTTGGGGTGGTGGTGCTGAGATCAAGTGAAAGGGAGGAAAAGGCCGTGGGGTAGCAAAGGGCCTCTCGGCAGCCATTCTCTCCACTCTACCCTGCTGCACCCACACATGCTGCGCCTGGACAGATTATGTAGGGTCTGGCTTTTAAACATCAAAAACCTTGCTGGAAAGGTAGATTAAGAATGTTAACTTTTTGTGTGGATGATGAGATTTGGGGTGATGTATCCGTCTTTAGAAAGAGCATGTATTTAGTGTATAAACTTAGTCACTGTCGTCAAGCCGATGCCGACTCACAGCAGCCGGTGAGTCCCCATCCTCCTCCCATTCGCTGTTCGTAAAAGTGAGATGCAGGCCCACAAGAACGGACTGACACTAGCAGCTGTTCAATAAGTCCTATAAATTAAACAGTATATTTTGAGGTCTTTACTGCTTTCTTCCTAAAGATTTCTTAGAGGCTTACTGACAAGTCTTCTGCTAAGAGCAATATAATTTTTAATCACTTAAAAGTGGTCATAAAATCACTGGTGGAATGGAACTATTATCCAGGATTATTTCTCACTTTATAAGTGGAAAAATGTACTTCTAACTCATTGTCCAAGGTTTCACAGCACTTTAGTAACAAAAACAATGATCAAAACCAGAACACCAACTGCCTAGTGTGAGCAGTTTTTACTCTGGAAATTGAGCCAAAGTGTTTTCTCCCTCTTTTCATGCATGGACCCTCCTAACCTACTTGACTTTTGTTCTCCACAGAATTCTCCCTCTGAAGCACAGAATTTAGATGAGAATACAACTGAGGGCTGGGAAAATCGGATAAGACTGTGGACTGATCAATATGAAGAAGCATTTTCTAATCAGTACAGTGCAGATGTACAAAACGCCCTGGAACAACATCTACATTCTAGCAAGGAATTTGTGGGCAAGCCTGCCATTGTAGACACTATTAATAAGACAGAATTGGCCTGTAACCATACAGTTATCGGCTCCCAAATGCAGGTAAGGGTTAAATGGTTAGTTGCTGTTTCTGCTTTCCTATGGTGAAGACATTAAGAAGCAAGAAGTTGGACTTGAAATGACTGTCCCTTCCAAATGTGTAAATCCTTCAAATGCAGAACACCTCATTGCCACCAAGTCAATTCCAACTCACAGTGACCCTACAGGACAGAGGAGAACGGCCCCTTTTGGGTTCCCAAGCCTCTTAACTCTTCATAGGAGCAGACAGCCTCATTTTTCTCCTGTGGAGTGACTGGTGGGTTCAAACCACTAACCTTGTAGTTGCTTGTAGGGCTCCTCCATGTAATTCCTTTAAAAAAAAACAAATGAGCCTGTTACTGATCATCTTATTCAAAAGAGGCTATCTATTAACTATAATAGAGAAACTCGGCTTTTCTTTTTTAGCTGCATTAATAAAATATATAAATTACCACAGGAAATGTTTGTGTAGCCTAAAGAGGAGTTAATAGATACATAATACATAAACTTACTTTTCTTTTTTATCATTTGTGGTTACTGCTGTTGTCCCGTTAGGTGCCAAGAGCCAACCCTATTGGCCAATCCCACACACAACAGAATTGGACCATTGTGATCCATAGGATTTCATTGGCTGATTTTCAGAAGTAGATCACCAGGCCATTCTTCCTAGTTTGTTATAGTACGGAAGCGCTGCTGAAATCTTTTTAGCATTATAACAGCATGTGAGCCTTCACTTTACACGCTGTGCTGGAGGTGCATTGCCCCCCGAGTTAAACCCCAAATTCACAAAGAAAGCAAGAATTGTACCACTGACTCACCCCAGTCCTCTGCCCCTTAGCATTGTTTAATACTTAGAATCCTTTTTAGTGGGAATTAATTTGGAATCTAAAACCACTAAAATCTCAATCATATATATCTCTGGCCTACTCCCCTCCTGTAGGGATATCAGATTCACTAGATGTCCCTTTAAAAAGGTGGGGGGGGGGGGGATGAGGAGCTAATATCAGGGGCTCAGGTGGGAAGAGAATACTTTGAAAATGATGATGACGGCATATGTGCAAATATGCTTGACCTACTGGATGAATGTATGGATTGTGATAGATGTAAGAGGCCCCACTAAAAGTTTGGTTTTTTTTAAGTTTTAATGAAGTTAAACAAAATTCAGAATTTCTGATCATTGAACTAAATAACATCAACAGATAAAACTTGGTTTTTGTTGGCCTCAATTAGGAGACTATTTTAACTATCTACCTACCCACTTTGCTGTTTTTAATGTTAATGAACTGGTTTTATGCAGCTACAGCTGGGAAGAGTCACTCGTGTTCAAAAGCACCGAAAGATCCTGAGGGCTGCAAGAGATTTAGCTTTGGACACTCTTATAATAGAATATCGAGGAAAAGTCATGTTACGACAGCAATTTGAAGTCAACGGGCATTTCTTCAAAAAGTAAGAACATCATTCATTGAGGCAAGGGTGCCACATGTGGATCTGGCTGACCGTTAACTGCTGTAAAAATCATCCTAGTGCAAAGATTAAAACTTAACATAAGCTCGTGCCTGTCTGCTATTTGTAGAGAAATGAAAATAAATGTGCAAAGTGTTGAATGTATAAAGTGATGATGACTCCCTTCTGAGTCAAGCATTCTTTGCTGTGTGCTTGTTCTTTAATCAAAAGCAGACAAGCATGTGATGTTTTCCAAGTTTAGGCATTGCGGAGGACTGCTATTTCTTGTGTCCGCATATGCTTCATATTTGTAGCATAGGCCTTTTTGTTTGTATTGGGAATTAAAGGAATTTTAATTCTATCCCTAGACCATATCCCTTTGTGCTCTTCTACTCAAAATTCAATGGCGTAGAGATGTGTGTGGATGCTAGAACTTTTGGTAACGATGCTCGATTCATCAGAAGATCATGCACTCCAAATGCAGAGGTAAGATTTTTGTAGCAACTTCCGTTTATGTAACCACTAAAGAAAGAGCCAACTGAGTACGTGTCTGAAAACTCCACCCAGATAATAGTCTGTCTGTTAATTGCTACCAAGTACTCCTTCATTGTGAGTTGGAAACCAATAGGTAGTGAGTGAATGGGTTACCGTTAGAAAAGGGACTGATGAAATGACTTGTTAACATTTGCTAGGAGAAAGAGCTAGCTAGACTGGTCATGTCATTGAGATGTTATTAAAGAAATTGCCAAGTGGTGGAAGATGTGATTAGACCAAAACTAAAGGCCATCGAGTTCCGCATGGTTCGTCCTTTTTTTGATAAGTGATAATAGAGATTGTAAACAAGTCTTGCCAGAATGTATCAGTAACACAGTCAGTGTAGCCACATGAAATGCAACAAGAAAACCCACAGGGCTTCTCTTATAAGTTAAGGACTTTTAATTCCCTGGTGGAACTAGAGGAACACTGTTGGCTGCTAACCTCAGAGTCAGCAATCCAAAACCACCAGTCACTGCTCAGGAGGAAGATGAGGCTTTCTGTTCCCGCAAAGAGTAACAGTCTGAGAAGCCCTCAAGGACAGTTCTACCATGTTCCTCGGAGGTGCCATTTGTCAGAATTACCTCCACCACAATGAGTTTGGTTCCGTCTGGTGATGCTGGAAGTCATTTTTAAGATTTAAAGCATTGATTTACCACTAAATTTGGTATTCCAGGGTAGTCCCATTTATTTCAAGAACACTATCTAATTTTCAAACATTGCTCTAAATAATGACTACATAGTGGTGTAGGAAATTGGTTTTTTTTATTTGGTTGGGGGTTTTTTTGGTGTTTTTTTTTTTTGCAACCTTTTATGTAATGCTCTTGGTCTTTATGCTAATCACCAACCTTAAGACTTGTTCGCATAGGTACGGCACATGATTGCAGACGGAATGATTCACCTGTGTATCTACGCTGTGTCTGCCATCACCAAGGATGCTGAAGTCACCATAGCTTTTGATTATGAGTACAGTAACTGGTAAGACCTCAGAAACCTTTCTGAACGTGAACTGGCTTGATCTTGAATATAAAGCTGTTCATTTCTACCAAGCCTGCTTTGCTCCTTGCTCTTTCAGTTTTGTTTACTGCTTTCACGAGTACTGCCTTTTCTGCCTAGAAACAGTGGAGGAGGACATTTGTTAGAGGAATAAAAACTCTATGAAACTGCTAAGAAGTGGCTTAACAAAGATATTTTGGCTTAATTTCTCTTTAGCAACTGAAAGGGTATATATATGATAATCCTAGAGCTTGCAACAGGAGCCATACATGCTAAGAATGTAACGATTCAGATCAAGTAGTATAACTGTCAGATAGATGACAAGTCACATGAATTTGTGGTAGATTGTTTAAAATAAATCCTTTGGTTGTTTAGGGCTTAAAGAGGCTAAGTGGTAAAGTGATTTAGGGCTTCGATAAAAGAACAAAAGGCATTCATAATTAGGGAGTTGGTTGGTAAAAATATGGAAATGGTGAAAGTGAACCCAAAATAAATAAGGCACTTCAGATTCCATCAATGATGGAATATACCTACCAAAAAGCATAAAAGTCGTTTAAAGACTTAAATTTATTAGTTTCTTAGCTGTCCACTGGCCATGAGTTAGCATTAGAATATTGAAGCATTTATAGGAATAATGGCTCAGTTCAATTTATTCACAGATAATAATACTAGAGGGAATTGCTAACATTTCAAAAGAATGGATAATATAAATGATTTTCAAAAGCACTGAGACCAGCACTCTTGGTTGTTTGTTTGGAACAGTAATTATAAAGTGGACTGTGCATGTCACAAGGGAAATCGGAATTGCCCGATACAGAAGAGGAATCCCAATGCTGCAGAGCCGCCAATCCCACCTCCTCCAAGCCTACCCACTGTTGGAGCAGAGACCAGGCGTAGAAAGGCACGACGGAAAGAGCTGGAAATGGAGCAACAGAATGAGACTCCAGAGGAAAATAGTGACCAGCAACCAGAAGTTCCAGAAAAAGGAAATGTGTCCAGTGACCCTGAGGTAATCAGCGCTGGTCAATGACTCTCTGCAGATTGCAT